TTTTTTCTATAAAAACTGTTTAAACAAAAGTTGTTTGTAATATAATTCTCTATAATTCTTATCCTATAGATAATTTCTCTAAAATGGACCGTATTCGAGATATTTGAGAAAATGTGTAAATTTCGAAATTTGAAGAAAACTCAAAAATGGATAAAGAAAAAAACATTAAATTTTAAACTTAAGTTTTATTTCGGCCTGACGTGAAATGATTAGATTTTGGACAAAGTCGGAACATCTGGGGGGGTACTTTATGGGAGGCCGTTTTTATATTTTATGGAATATATCTGTTATTTATGTTTGAAGAAAAAAATTGTTCAAATAAAAGTTACTTCTAATATTATTATCTATAATTTTTGCTTTATGTAAAAATTTCCTGAAATGGTCCGTATTCGAAAAATTTGACAAAATGTGCAAAATTCTGATTTTTATGAAAATTGTTGAAATAAAAGTTGTTTGCGATATCGATCTCTATAATATTTGTTTATACATGATTTTTTTAAAATGGACCGTAATGGAAAAATTGTAGGAAAAGTGCTAAATTTAAATTTTTCAGTATTTTCATTTTCAATGAATATCTATAGAAAAATGTTTCGCGGTAGATGTATGTGGACAATGTATATATTTAGTTTATCCTCTAAACATTTATAGAGATGCTGCAATAGATTGTACAAAATAACCGGAAAAAGCCTGTAATACCTAGACAGGAAAGTCATGTGTTGGACACATCAGATTTTTTAGATAATGCTATAATTTAATACACATTACTGATCAGTGAAGTGTGGACGGTTTTATAGGTCAGATTGCCGTCATTTAATTTATTTGTCTTGTATAAAATAATATAGCAGTTTTTCTAGCAGTTAATTCTAGCAGTTTATTCTAGCAGTTTATTCTAGCAGTTTATTCCAGTAGTTTATTCTAGCAGTTTGTTTTTGAAATTTATTTTAGCAGTTTATTCTGTCAGTTTATTTTATCAACTTTTACCATAAGTTTATTCTAATAGTTTATTCTAGCAATTTATTTTAGTAGTTTATTCTAGAAGTTTTTTTTTGATATTTAATATTTTAATCTAGAAGTTTATTGTAAAAGTTTATTTATTTCGTATTTTATTCTACTAGATTATTCCAACTATTTATTCTAGCAATTTAAACTGGCTATTTATTATAGCAATTTATTCTATCAATATATTATATCAATATATTTTAGTTCTTTATTCTAGCCATTTTTTTACAGATTCGTTCTAGCGATTTATTACAGCAATTTATTATAGCGATTTAATATAGCGATTTATTCTAGCGATTTATCCTAGCGATTTATTCTAGCCAGTATTTTAACAGGTGATTTTTGTAATTTATTCCGACAGTTTATTTTAGTAGTTTATTCCAGCTCTTTATTCTATCAAACCATTATACCAATTTATTCTAGCTACTTATTTTATCGTTTTACTCTAGCTCTATATACTAACAGTTTATTTGAACAGTTTGTTCAGACAGTTTATTCAAACAGTTTAATCAAACAATTTATTCAAACAATTTATTCATACAATTTATTCAGTTTGTTCAAACAGTTTATTTATACAGTTTATTCAAGCAGTTTATTCGAACATTTTTTTCTAACAGTATCTTCTAGCATCAAAATTAGTCACTTATGTATGATTAAAAAACTTAATTATTTATCGTAACGTTTCAAATTGTTCTAACATCTTAATTTTTTTGAACTCATTCAAATTTCTTCTAATTCCTCCCAATTCCTCTAATTTTTTCTTAATTCTTTTCAATTCCTCTCAATTTCTTTTAATTTCGCACAACTTTTCTTAATTCCTCTCAATGTCTCCCAATTTCTCGTAATTCCTCTAAATTCCTCTCAATGTCTCTCAATTCCTCTCAATTCTTCTCAATTTTTCTCAATTCTTCTCAATTCTTCTCAATTCTTCTCAATTCTTCTCAATTCTTCTCAATTCTTCTCAATTCTTCTCAATTCTTCTCAATTCTTCTCAATTCTTCTCAATTCTTCTCAATTCTTCTCAATTCTTCTCAATTCTTCTCAATTCTTCTCAATTCTTCTCAATTCTTCTCAATTCTTCTCAATTCTTCTCAATTCTTCTAATTTCATCCAAATTTCTCTCAATTCTTCTCAATTTCTCCCAATTCATCTTAATTCTTTTCAATTCTTCTAATTTCCTCTTAATTCATCTAAATTCCTTTAAATTCGTTCAAAATCCTCTAAATTCATTCAAATTTCTCTAAATTCTTCCAAATTCCTCTCAATTCCTCTTAATTCCTCCCAATTCCTCTGAATTCTTCTAATTCATCTCAATTCCTGTTGAACCCATCCAAATTTCTCTTAATTCCTCTCAGTTCCTCTCAATTCCTCTTAATTCCTCCCAATTCATCTTAATTCTTCTCAATTTATCTTATTTCCTCCTAATTCATTTAAATTTCTCTAAATTCCTTTAAATTCCTCCAAATTCCTTTCAATTTCTTAATTCCGCTTAACTTTTTTTAAATCCTCTTAATTTCTCCCAATTTCGCTTAATTCCTCTCAATTCCTCTCAATTTCTCTCAGTTTCTCTCAATTTCTCTCATTTCTTCTCAATTAATTTCAATTCCGTCCGCTTAATTCCTCTTAATTCCTTTCAATTTCTCTTAATTTCATTCAATTCCTCTTAAAAAAAAACTTTTCTTACTATTGAAAATGCTTTATTGTCAAGATTTTATTGTCCTATAGACTAGTAGTTTTTTTTACATCCGTTCCAATCTTCAGTTAAAATATAATTTAATTAATAGCAATTTAATTTATCTAAATTTTTCCCAATGTTTCTCAACTTCCCCAATTCTTCTAATTAATTTTAATTCCTCTGAACTAATCCAAATTTCTCTTTATTCTCACAATTCCTCTCAAATCCTCTCAATTCCTCTCAGTTCTTCTCAATTCCTCTAATTTTCTCTTAATTCATCTACATTCCTCCAAGTTCCTTTCGATTCCTCTCAATTTAGCTCAACTGATCTTAATTTCTCTCAATTTCTCCCAATTTCTCTCAATTCCTCTCAAGTTCTCTTAATTCCTCTCAATTCCTTTCAATTTATCTCAATTTATCTCAATTCCTCTCAGTTCCTCTCAACTCCTCCCAACTCTTCTTAATTTCTCCCAATTCCTTAAAATTCCGCTTAATTTCTTTTAATTTCTCTCAATTTCTCTCAATTTCTCTCAATTTCTCTCATTTTCTCTCAATTTCTCTCAATTTCTCTTAATTTCTCTTAATTTCTCTTAATTTCTCTCAATTCCTCCTTAAAACACTTCTTACTATTGAAAATGCTTTATAGCTGAGATTTGATTGTCTTATAGACTAGCAGTTTTTTTTACGTCTGTTCCAATCTTCAGTTAAATTATAACTTAATAGCACTTTAAAGTTAATAGCACATAAGCTGAACTTATATTCAAGCTGGTAAAAAAAGAACACTATGACAATGTTATCTTTAAGTAAAGGAAAAAAAATCAACCTGGCAATGCCGCAAGTTTTTTGTCATATAGCGTCACTGCTTTCTTACCATTTTCATAATGTTTTAAAATTGTTATTGTAATATTTAATATTCTCCCCTTTCATTCGATTTAAAAACATCCAAAAACCCGAATTTAATTTTATTAATATGTAAAATTTATCAAAAAATTCAATAATTTGTTAACACAGAGTAAAGCAATTCTTTTTTAAATTCAATTGCTGCAATTGAAAGGTTGAAAATTCATTGTGTGTTACATTTTACGGCATAAGATAATATCAACAATAAAAGGACTATACATATTGATTTGGGATGAATATACTGATATGGAAATTTTTGGGTATCAATATATTTATCACCTCAGGATATTATTCCTTTTTCGCAATATTGACAAAAATATGAAAAAAATTGTAAAGGAACAAGGGTCGCTAACCCATAAAAACTTGTTATGGGAATAGGAAGTTGTTGAATAGAATGTTGTTACAAGAAAAGAAAATATTGTTAGGCGTGATTGGTTTTGGATAGAGGAAAAATGGGGATTTGTTGTTTTTTTTTTTTGTAAAAATTAAATTAGAATTTGTTAAAAAAAAATAAAAGAAATGAAGCAAATGTGAGATATTTTATTTTAAAAAGATAAATTAAGGACGCCGAGATAGAATAATAGCTGTTGGAGTAGAACAGATAATGGAGACTAGCTAGAATATAGAAGGGGAAATAAGCAAGGTATTTCAGTAGCAGATAAGGCAAAAAATATAATAGGATTTAAAAAAATCGTTTTTTTTTTTAAATATTTTTATTTAAATAACAAGTACAATATTTTTATGACTTTATTAATTGCAAGCTAACATCAAACATCAGACTGCCAGTAAAATAAAAAAAAGAATGTTAAACACGTGTTCAGAGAATTCTTGGAACTTCTCGACAGGTCAGTGGTTTCTATTATGTAATTGGCAGCACAAAAAGCACAGTAGTAAAAAAAATTAATTTAAAATAATATTTTCTCATTTTTAGATAATTTATACCTTTCCAAATTCAGATCTATATTGAATTGAGTGCCCTTTATTAGAATTGAGAAAGTTGGGGGGAGTGTACTGGCTCTAGTTGAAATTTGTCAATTTGTCATTTCGACCGTTATGTGATACAGTTTCTTAATTGGTAAAGGAGTTGAGGTGTAAACTGTATGAAAGGTTAAGGAATTAATAGATCCTTTGTATCTCAAAATGACATCCCCATGTTTTTATTTACTAAATCAGCTCACAAATGGCTGCCTCAAGTTTGAATTTTCATTTTCTTCTCAGCTCTGTCGATTTTTCTTTAATTTGTTTTCATTTTGGACTTGCGAGGATAGATTCCTTAATGTCGTAAGGCAAATTGGTATTTTTATTTTTACATTTCCAAATGTTTACTTTGGTTTTAGGATCTTTAACTGATTTTTTATTTCTTTAAATATTATATAGTTACGATTGTAAGTGAAAGCAATAAATAATAGATATAAAAAAAACTCACCCAAAATAGCTACGACTTCATCATCTTGTATAACTTCCAACGATCCGGTGACAATGAAGCACAAAGAATCTATCGATTCCCCAGTATGATAGAGTAGATCTCCAGGGGCGGAATGGGACATTGTAAAATGCATCGCCAAGGCCCTTAAACAACCATCAGACGCCAACCGAAAGGCGGGATGTTCGTTGAAAACCTTCCGGTTGAGATGGACGCATATGTCAGCTTTCATATCTTTCGGGCAGAAGTTTAACACCTGAAAATTGTATACGGTTTGTAATTTATCTTGAGAGTGTTTTAAAAGAAGCATTTTGTTTCTAACAGAGAATTAAATTCAATAAAAAGAAATCAAAGCATCATAATTAAGTCTCGCATAAAGCATTTATTGATAAAATTACAAATTAGAGTGACGATTTTTTAGCATTGTCACCGGATAATCTTTTTTTTTTCCACAAAATATTTAATATTTATTGATATTCTTTATACTGTGGTAGTTTAATTTTATTTTATTACTAAAAGAAGAAAGTTGTAATATTCTGTTTTGTTTAGAATACTGTTAGAGGTTTTCTCAATTAGTTAGAAATACTCTCACTTGTGGCATTCGAACTGGGTGTGCTCGGGCGCCAGTTTATTTTTGAGTTGTTTGCTCCACTTTACCGTTTGGAACAGAGGGTCAACGATATTACGGTAGTTATGGAGTACTTGAAAAGAGATTTAAGGGAATGAAATGCCAGGTTTTAGTTTGATACATATATTGATCTACATCAACTAATACTTATTGCGGTGATATTATGTTTTAACTTAATATTTTATTTACAAGCTCCCTCGAAGTTCTTGGATGTAACCCTTAACAAAAATAATACAAAAAGCATTCGTAACGAAAATTATCTAGAGAAATAAACTAGAAGCTCAATCGGATGAATGAGGGCGTTTAAAAACAAAACGGTTTCAGGGAAACAACGGTCAAATTTACCTCCAGTAATTAATGCTAAAAGTCCTTGCAGTTTGTTATTACTATAAATAGTCTTTGGGTCCATATATCAAAAAAATCACAAATATAAAACTATACCTATTTACAGTATTTAAAAATGCGCACAAATTTGCTTAATATACTATTTTTAAAGTATCCGATACACGAAGTCCATTCTTCTTTCTTTGTTGGTTGCCAAGTTTTCAATTACTTTATCATTAAAATTTTCAATTCCATTTACAAAATCTTTTCCAGCGGACAACATACCTAAAGCACTAAGTCTTTCTTTCTTTATTGTATTTCTGAGGAATTTTTTAATCCGTTTAAGCATTGAAAAACAGTGCTCTGCTTCAGATGTTGACATAGGTATTGTTATCAAAATACCTAAAAGTTTAAGAGTTTCCTGAAATGTACAATTAAAACCTTCCTCATTTAATCAAAGTGACAGCTGGACAGCTACGGAGGCGGTACTTAATTCGTCTTTCTGATACAGTACTTGTAATTCATTTTTAAGTATATTTTTGTCTAAATGTTTCATTAAGGAATGATTCGGGAAACTAATACCTATAGACCGAAAACTTCTCCGACATAAATAAATTAGAAGCGACCAAATGCCCAGAGAAGTTGAACATTGTTTTTATTTGCAATAAAACGGCATCGCATATTTCTAAGGCTTTGCGTTTTCTGCTGTTCTCTTCAATTCGTGCCTTTATTTCTTATTTCTTCACCAGTTTCTCCTTGCGACGTGTTTATTTCTTCTTGAATATTGTCAATAATGCTGTCCATTTGCTCCCGTATACCTTGAATTGCTGCTTCGAAATTCTCCAAATCTTTCTTGACCTTAACAGAATCTGTGCATACTTTTTGTAATTGGTTAAAAATTATTTCCACGTGAGGCATTATTTGATGAAAAATACTTAACCATAATATAAAATTTTTATCCTGAAGTTTTAATTTGTATCCACTTGCTTGATTAATTTACGACGAATCGCGTGAATTGCTTTCTATAATGTCCACAACTGTAATGAGGTCTTTTTTATTCTCATAAACAGTGTGAACACCTTGCGATTGAAAGTTCCAACGTGTTTGGGAAGATCTTGGCAACCTGCGATTAACTAACTCATCCAAAATTTTTCTTTTTTGAGGAGACGTGGAAAAGAAAGAGCACAAACCAGATAAATTAGAAAAAAATATTCTAGCCTGCTTATTGAGAGAACATGCAATGAACGTAATTTGCAAGAGGATATGTTTGTTTAATAATTTTTGCACACCATTTAATCCACCACTTATTACAGACGCGCCGTCATAGCTTTGAGCAATAAATTTATTTGAACTATGTTTTAATAATGGATGTACAACATTTAAAATGCAATCAGCGATTAATTTGGCGTCGTGTCCATGTAAAACCTCCAAAATCTCTCAACTGGTCGTCACTTACACAAATATCTGAAAACTATAACTAATTGAAATTCACAAGTAACGTCCGTCGTTTCATCGGCAATCACTGCAACCAAAGGATAATTTTTTATTTCCTTCCTAACTTCTTCGTGATAAAAATCTAACATGTACTCAAGAAGTTCATTTTGGGTTATTTTTGAGGTACTTTTGAAAGCTTTTGAAATTTGAATATGAACCTTTAAGTCGTTTAATTCGGCGCTAAATTCACCAGCTCCTTAAATATGCCTCTATTTTCCGAATTATCTTTCTCATCGTGACCCCTTAAAGCTAACTCAAAGGCTCCACAAAACCTTATACAATTTATGATTTGATTTAAAACATATTGATTCTTATCCACTTGTTGATTATGTTTAATTAGACTATCACGATAAGCCGAATTTAGCTGGGTTTTTATATTTAACTTACCAAGCATGGAAAAGCTAAAAACATTATTCATGTGCACTTTGGATTTTTCGTGGATTTTATTTTATTCCATATATGGACAAGATCATCTGTGAATTTTTTTGATCAAGTCTCTTTACCTCGAAACAAAATACATACAAAACAAAACAGTTTATTACTTTCTTCGCAATCACACAACCAATTATTTTTATCATAAATAGTTTTATTAAATTTACGACACCGCGATTTTTGCTCACTTCTACTTTATTTTTCAAGATTTAAATCGAGAATTGGCCGGCCTAATTCTTTAATTTTTAGTTTTTCTTCTAGAGAAAAACCACTAAAAGAGTTTTCTAAGACGCCAATTTTATTCATTGTCACAATAAATTAAAAACTAGGAAATAAGATATTTAAACAAGTTTATCGAAAATAAAAAGACACACATTAACGTCACTAATAATACTTCGTAACGTAACGAAAAACTTAAAAGCGCGTAAAGAAATTCAGTTCAGTCAATAGAATATTAAGAATATTCCTTGCATCAAAAATAAGGTAGTGCTATGGCACAGTGGCATTACCTCACGAGCCGCCACTGCTCCTATATATGGCCTTAAGCAGTGGCGGCTCATGGGCACTAGCGGCAGTGGGGCACACAAAGGAAGAAATCCCGGGATTCGTTTTTCCCTTAGGAATACAAGTTCTCCGCTTAATGAAAATTAAAAATATTTCAAAACAAATTAAATATTACAAAATTGAAGACTAACTGCTAGGTACCACTGCAGTTGTATACTATTTCTTATAGTTGAAGTCCATTCTTCTGGATTTTTGGCTAGCGAAGTGATCGATGACCAGATTATTAAAATTTGGAATGGACCGATTAAGTTTTTTTCGATGGATAACATGACTAACGCGCACAATCTATCTTGGCACATAGTGTTCCTTAAAAATGTTTTAATACGTTTTAGTGTCGAAAAACATATTTCACTCTCCACTGTGGTCATGGGAATTGTACACAGGATAGTTAGCAGCTTCACAGATTCCGAAAATGTAATTGTCAAATTGTTCTCAAAAAACATTTGTAATAACGGTACGGCCCCATTGTGTTGCACAAAGTCATCTCGGGTGTAAAGTATAGACAGTTCGGTTTTGAATTTTAAGCTGTTTACGTTTGAAAATAAACTACACAGTTTTAACGTCCTCATTTGGAAAACAACCTCGGTAGTCTTTAAATTTTTCACTATCAAATAAACTTGCAATTGTTAGGTGGGTAGTAAAACTAAAACGTTCATTTACCTGCACTACTATTGTATCACAAATTTCCTTACATATCCTTAAATTAGGAATGGGGACCTCCTTTTCAATAAACCGTCTCTTCTTACTTGTACTTTGACCTGATTGGATGTTGTCGTTTAAGTTTGGTTCTTATGGGTCTTGTTGTGATTGCCATTCTTCATGAATTATTTTTAATATTTTGAATAGCTGCTGCAAAATTTGATATGTTTATCTTAACCTTGAGAGCATCGAGCTGTCTACTCTGCAGTTAATCAAAAAGTATAACGCAATTTGGCATTATTTTGCTGAAGAAAAATAACAAGAAACTAAAATATGTCTTTAAAAATTTATCAACCCTTTAGTCTTGATTAATAGTTTTTTTATCGAATTCTGTGTTCATAATTTCTTCGAGACATTTAATCAAAACCTCTTTATAAACATAAATAGTATTGACACACTTCGATGTAAAATTCCATCGTGTAGGAGCATTTTAAAGCATACGACTCTGAAGAAAATGTGTTGGCAATTTAAAATCTCCCAGCGAAAAATTTCTCTTTTATACAGGGTGTAACTAAATAAGTGTAAAATATTTAAGGGGGTGATTCCTCATTGAAAAAAAGATAGGATCTTTCATATAAAGAAACTTCATTGGAGCATCCCTTGTTAAGATACAGCCCCTTAAAGGGGGTACATAAATTTTGTTTAACAATTTTTTTTACAAGCACTAAACAAGTTACAATATTGAAATTAACCTGTCATTTTCTACTACCAAAAAGACACTTAGCGGCCTACTAGATAAATTAGTTTCGTATTTTCGTTTTATGGCGATATCTATCTTGTTCGTAAAATAATTTTTTGCTGCGAACTGGTTTAGTTTGGGCAAACAATTCAACAAACTTTTTTGTTTAGAATGAAACAGGCTATCGGAAATAAATTTTTAAATGATAAACAAATAATAAGACAAAAAGTTACGTTGGAACGAAATTTTAGGGGTTACGTTTTCCACCCCTTACAACAATGGAATAAACCAAATAAATTACTGGGTAAGTGTCTTTTTGGTAGTAGAAAATGTCAGGTTAATTTGAATATTGTAACTTGTTTAGTGCTTGTGAAAAAAATTGTTAAACAAATTTTATGTACCCCCTTTAAGGGGCTGTATCTTAACAAGGGATGCTCCAATGAAGTTTCTTTATATGAAAGATCCTATCTTTTTTTCGATGAGGAATCAC